TGCTGGGTGTGCTGTGGTTAGGGGGGGGAAAGGGAGGATTATTGAGTGCCTATTTTTGGGATCAATATGACTGACTATGGTCATGGCTAGGACTATAGATTTGGTGGTGTAAGATTTCATTGTTCATATTGGATGGGATTGGCATGGAATGAAAGAACTGAAATGAGGGGAGAGAGATTCTAGACAAGTATCTATTATGTATCTAGTGGATGGATCGAGGTCTAGACGTAGTGAGTATACTAAGTGGACTAGGGACAAGGTAACTATGTAGTAGGTAGTGATGAGTGTATTCCAGAAGTACTGACTGCAGGCGCTGTCAGCACCCACACGCACACGCACACACACTAAATGCACCACTTCCACAATACCCTAATGGAGTGACTACGATGGATGGCAGATGATGGCAGATGGCAGTGGATTCCGTCTCGTGGCGTCTCCAGGAACTTCTTCTCCACCTGCGCCCAACTTCCAGCACAACTTGGAAAAGGCGAAAAAGAAAAGAAAAAGAAAAAAAGAAAAATGCAATTCAATGGCTCGCCAGGGACACTCCAATCCACGTCAGTGGCCATGTGGACCCCGAAGCCAAACAAACTTTTTACCCCTGCGCCTCTGGCGGCGATTCGTTGAAACGGCCAGGAACAGCAGGAACAGCAGTATGAGCACTAGCCGATCTCTTCGCCGACGGTTGGATGCCTTGCCGCCGCAAAAAGCTATATAAGGATGCATCTCGCTGCACCTTTTGCTTCCTCTTCAATCCATCAGCAAATCCACTGACACTCTCTTGATCAGCTTTGTCTGACCTGTCATTCTCTCTCTTTTTTTGATACATCTGATTTTAGTCTGTCGATCAGACTAGTCTGCCTTCCTTTTAGTCCTCTCTCTTTTGGACTTTACTACTACACATACAACAAACCACTTTCTCTTTTTTCAGAGGAACCAACAACAGTCTTTCTTGACAACCCAAAATCTCATCTTTTTTGAGTCAATCTCTTAAAACAAATCTCATCAAAATGTTCTTCAAGACCATCCTTACTGCCGCTCTGGCCACCGCTGCCACGGCTCTTCCCCACTCCGTCAACAACAACATGGTTCGTCGCAACGGTACCTCTTCTGGCTCCGGCGGCGTCTCCATCTCCAACAACATGAGCAACACTACCGTCTACGCGTGGTCTGTTTCTGATAGAGTCAGTAACATGCATACCCTTTCTGCGGGCGGTGGTAGCTACTCCGAGTCCTGGCAAACCAACGACAACGGTGGTGGTATCTCCATCAAGCTGTCCACCACTGAGAGCCAGTCCGATGTCCTCCAGTTCGAGTACACCCAGGATGGTGACACCATCTACTGGGACATGTCTTGCATCAACCTCGGCAGTGACTCCGCTTTCACCAAGTACGGTTTCTCCGTCACTCCCTCCGAGGAGGGTGACAACTGCCCTTCTGTCAACTGCGAGGCTGGTGACACTGCGTGCGCTGAGGCTTACCTCCAGCCCGATGACAACGAGGCTACTCACGGCTGCCCCATTGACACTCAGTTCACTCTTACTCTGGGTTAAACGGATCCCTTTCAATCAATCGGATCAAAAAGAGATGGAGTTTTCTTGTTTTTGGAATATACCATGGGTCGGATGGGTTTGGTTTTGAGTTCTCATGTATAGATTGACTTGATCTGCCTCCTGGATGAGTTGCACAAGACAAAGCAGAACACACAACACACTCACTTTTTTCGCTTCGTGAATCACACCTTAGGTGGATTTCGCTTGCTGTGCTATGCGGTTATGTATGTAGTGATTTGAGATCACATGAATTACGCCTATAGACTTGCTGTTTGATAGAACAAAAAAAAAACTACAAACAATCTACTTTTCCCCAAGATTATTTTCTTCTATTCTCTTCTCTCCTATTTCTCTTTTCCTATGGACGTGTGGTATACCTCAGAAATACCTATACGAAGTACCTTGATCAATAATTGACAGTTGAAATCAATGTCTGACCTGTCAGAAGTCTAATCGGTGTAACTGTTTTTTTTTCCAAATACTATTGACTTATCCCAGACCACAGGGAGTAATAATATTACTCTAGAAGGAATACAACCAACCAACCAACACAGTCACACACACCACTAAACCCTTCATCCCTACAATCAAACACACAGAATAATCTCCTTCATAATCCATTCCAGAACAATTCACAGTTCAGTTCTGACAACCTATACCCCCCAATCTGACAGATCAAATACCCTATTTCCCACCTACAGATGACAAGAAACAATAGCAATAGCTAAATGCAGGAACTATGCATCCTACCTACATCTACACCTACTTTTTACCTCCGACCTAGATACCACTCATTCAACATACTACATACACATTCCACCCCCCAGGAGGCAGACACTGACTCACCCCCTCCCACCTACACAGTAAGCAAGTCACCCAGCAAACAACTACGTAACTACCGTGTGGACACCGGACAGGCAAAAAGTCAGCCACAGTGGATCCGTGAAGACACTCTCAAAAGTGGGGCCCGAATCCCACAATAGGCGGCGCCTCCCAGCCCAAGTTCAGATTCATCGATTGGGCTGGACCGGGACCCACTTTTGTTTGTTCTGTTCCGTTCTTTCTTTTCTCACCGATGAAATGGGGGGGATTCTAGACTTTCTTTTTCTCTGCTCGGCTGAGGGGAGGGGGGGGTGCCCGACATGGATATTGGGGGGGGGTGACACATAGTGTGGTAATTCTTTAGGTGAATCGAAATGAATAACCCACTACGTGGTGTTTCTTTTGTGTGGTTAGTAAATACTAACCACAGTAGAGAATAATTTAATTAGTGAGAAAAAAACTTGGTTACTGAGTAAAAGTATCCCATATGATGGCGATGTTAGGAGGCAAGAAAGTAGCGCGGGATTCTCACCCTCCCATGTGCCGAACCTCACTATACTAAAGTCAATCAGTCAGCCAGTTCAGTCAGTCTACGGAAAGTACTATAGGTGAGTGGTGGGTGTGAATTGGGTTCTTTAATCCCGCGGTTACTTACGAGGCGAAAACGGGAGAAAGAAAATAGGAAATGGGAAAAAGAAAGAAAGTGGCGCATACGTAAAGTACTACCAACATCCGAAAGAACACGACAAAAAAAAAAAAGAAAAAGAAAAAGAAAAATTCATGACCAGCCAATTTAGGCAGCCAGTCAACTTGCACTTCCAAAGAAGAGAGAATATTATTCTTCCATACATATGATTTTTTTTTTTTTTTTTTTCACTCCATATCTAACAAATGAACAGATTCACACATACTTACTCTCTAACCGCTGAAGAACCCAACCAAGCAACGATGAACAACAGCCTAAGGCAAAGCGGTAACTGCCCTATTCCCATTTCTTCAATATAATTGGCCACACCACTAACCTTATCCCTCATGGATCCCCCACATCCCATTGGTCGAGCGTGGATCCGCTGCATTGTCCATTCAAGATTCAAAGATCGGGAGGGGGGAAATCCATCGTCTCGATTGATTTTTGGGCTGACTGTCCACTCAAGGTCCACCAGTAGAGGGTCGTTACGTATGTCATGGGTGTCACTCATTTTTCTATGCTATCCAATGAGAGAGGGGATGTTTGATGGTTGACGTGGTGGGTTACTCTTAGTTACTGTTAAGTGCTGATGCTGGTGCTGCTGATGGTGAGTGGGGGTTTTAGTGGGTGTGTTTTGCATGTGTTTCATATCGTTACCCCTCCTCCTAGGAGTACTTCTCTTGTCTATCGTTTAGACTAGTTGATGGGCATGTTGCTTGGTTTTGGTGGTTGGTGATGGTGTGGTGCTCT